ATTTCATAGGTTTCCTGATGCTCCCTTTGTGTGCGGGTCTGGTTTGGTTGCTCCCTTTTTTTGCGTGTTGGTGCTTGGTGACTCTACATGTTCATGCTAGAACTCTACACGAAAAACACCCGGCACCCAGCGGTTTTCTGTGGAGGGGCTAACCCTGACTGCAATTGGACGCCCGTTAGTAATTATTGATGAGGGGATCACCTGAATTTTTGGGAGGTATGGGGGAAAGTACTCTTAAAGTGCAGGACATCTGCTTGGTTCCTGAGTTTGATGTTTGACTACTGAGACTATATAGACTGAGGCTTCAGTAGTTAAATATTATAAAAGATTGTTAAATCTAGTTTACTTGATACTTCAGCAGTTAGATCTAGTTTAGTTGATGTATGTTGATATACTCTAGTAGTTAACTAAACTCTATTATATCATTATTGTTGATGCTTCAGTCATGATATCTAGTTCTTGTCCTTAATATACTCGTCCCTTTTTGTTGAGTCTGTTCAATTGCCTCGAGGTGGCCAATACGGCTGGGCCGCGCAGCGCTTGTCGCGCGCGGCCGCGCTGGCGGCGGTGCATTGGCAAAACCCTCGGGTTGGGACCTCAGGGACGGTCGGTCCGACCTGGACCGGTCGGGCCGTTGACCGGTTTCGTCAGGAGCACATGGTCCTTGAGTTCTGGGTTTCCGTCACGTCACAGTTCTCCAAGGTAGCAGGTAAATACCTTTTTTGGAGAAAGGCCTTTACTTTAACCATCAACATCCATTGGGCCCAGGGTTACAGGATAGACTCAAGGAATGGGTACTGTACTGGTGAACAAAGGTACACGAAAAACCAATAGTGGGGGACCTTTGGGAGGGACAAAGATGAGGTTCCCCACATTTGCACAGAACAGATCTACAAGGTGGTCAACTTCTCCAAGGGTGACATAGAGGCCAGGATCTGAATATCTGAACAGAGCAGGAGCGGGTCAGACTAAACACTAGTACACTGTGAAGATTTGTGAGCTATGGAACAGGGTGGACCACGTAAGCATCCAGCAAGCATCGGGGTTTTGCACCCCTGGTAGTCACATGGCTTTTCAGCAGACAAGTTTGGATGAGAAGGAACATATCCATGATTTTGCTTAGGCTTTACCCTATGCTTTGTTTCCGCATCACCGGCCACACATGTATTTCCATGGATCACATGGTTTCCTTCCTTGCGGCTCCAAGAAGTACCGGGGGTCTCACTTTCTCCTCTCCCGCCGACGAGCGACCCATTTGAGGCCTACCGCGCCGAGCTGTATGGCATCAGGGATCCAGAGGAGATGATCTGCGGGTCTTCGGGGGATCTGGAGATCAGTGACCGGCGGTAACACCGAACCAGCGAAACGAAACGGGTGTCTTTATGTCACATGCCCATGTGGTTTGTCTTTGTTTGATATGTTTAAATTGTTTGACTCATGTCATGTTACGCATGTTAATCCATTTCCAGGTGGCACCTTCGACGGAGTCGAAGTGGATGGGAGTGGTAAGGAGTGCCACTATGTTAAAATCAGTGTGACAAAACCTTTCAGGGTTTCTTGGCTTCTTTGAGTTTCTTGTACTACGCCCAGTAGAAAGCACAAGAGGCCCCAGCAGAGTTTTCCGGATACCTTTTTTCCCCACCTGCCAGGTGAGGGTTGTTAGATTTTATCACAGTTGTTCTTCCTCCTCCTCCGCCTCCTCCTCCTCCTTCCTTCCTCCTTCCTCCTTGCTTCCTTCATCGCCAATCTGCTTCGCCAATCTGCTTCGCCGATCTTGTCTGGCCAGCTCCGGATCGCAGTGTGCACCCCTGGACCTCAACCGCAAGGATCCCCTCGCAGT